TTTGTTATTGGTGTATAGAAAGGCTACTGATTTTTGTAGATTGATTTTATAACCTGCCACTATACTGAAAGTGTTGATCAGTTCTAGTAGTTTTCAGGTGTAACTTTTGGGAGCTCTTATAGTATCATGTCATCTGCAAAAAGTGATAGTTTGACCTCTTCTTTTCCAATTAGTACTCTTCTAATTTCCTTCTCCTGTCTTATTGCTCTAGCAAGAGTTTCAAGCACTATGTTGAAAAGGAGTAGAGATAGTGGACATCCTTGTCTGGTTCCTAATTTTAATAGAAATGCTTCCAGTTTTTCTCCATTTAGAATGATGTTGGCTGTGGGTTTGTTATATATGGCTTTAATTATGTTGAGGTATGTTCCCTCCTTACATCTCTATTCTCTCTAGGGCTTTTTATCATGAAGGGATGTTAGATTTTTGTCAAAGGCCTTTTGTGCAGCTGTTGAGATGATCATGTGATTTCTCTCTTTAAGTTCATTTGTATGATAAATAACATTTATTGATTTATATATGTTGAACCATCCTTGCTTTCTGAGATAAAGCCTACTTGAGCATGGTGAATAATCTTTTTAATGTGTGTCTGTATGTGGTTTGCAAGTATTTCTTTTATTGTGGTTTCTTTACAAAGTTTTGGTATTAGAGTGATGCTGGCTTCATAGAAGGAATTTGGGAGTTCTCCAGGTATTAGAATGATGCTGGCTTCATAGAAGGAATTTGGGTGTTCTCCCTCTGTTTCTATTCTTTTGAATAATTTAAGTAGTATTACTTGGAGTCTTCTTTAAGTGTCTGATAGAATTCTGCTGTAAATCCATCTGGGCCTGGACTTTTTAAAGTTGGGAGGCTTTGTATTACAGTTTCAATTTCCTTATATCTTACGGATCTGTTTAAACTGTTGATCTCTTCTTGGTTTAACTTTGGTGGTTCCCTTGATTTTAGATATGCATCCACTTCTTTTAGATTTTCAAATTTAGTAGCGTATAGGTTTTTTAAATATTCCCTTATAGTGGTCTGGACCTTCTGGGTATATGTTGTGATGTTTCCCCTTTCATCTCTGATTTTGTTGATTTGGATTTGCTTTCTTTCTTTTGGTTAACTGGGCTAAGGGTCTGTCTATCTTGTTTAGCTTTGCAAAGAATCAGCTATTAGATTCATTGATTCTTTGTATTGTTTTCTTTGTTTCTATTTCATTGATTTCTGCTCTGATTTTTGTTATTTCTTCTCTTCTGCTGGGTTTGGGTTTCATTTGTTCTTGCCTTTCCAGGGTCTTGAGTTGTAGTGTTAGGTCATTTATTTGGGCTCTTTCTAATTTTTAAATATAGGCACTTAGAGCTATAAACTTCCTCTTAGGACTGCTTTTAATGTGCCCCAGAGGTTGTGCTGTGTTGTATTGTCATTTTCATTGAATTCTGGGAATTCTTTTATTTCTTTCTTAATTTCTCCTTTGACCCATTCTTTGTTTAGCAGTGTGTTGTTTAATCGCCATGAGTTCATGTAGTGACCAGGGCTTTGTCCAGTGTTGATTTTGAGCTTTATTGCTTTGTGGTCTGATAAAATGCATGGGATTATTTCATTTCTTTTGTATTTGTTGAGGTTTGTTTTGTGGCCCAGTATGTGGTCAATTTTTGCAAAAGTTCTATGGGGTGCTGAGTAGAAAGTGTATTTTTTGGTGTTTTTGTGGAATATTCAAAAAGATATCTGTTAAGTCCTTTTAATGTATGGTATCATTAAATTCAGAAATCTCTGTTTCTTCTTTGTCCAGTTGACCTGTTTACTGGAGACAGTGGGGTATTGAAGTCCCATACTATTACTGAGTTGAGGTTAATCTGTGTCTTAAAGTCCTGCAGTGTTGTTTTCATGAATTTGGGTGCACCAGAGTTTGGTGCATATATGTTAAGGATTGTAATATTTTCTTGGTTAACTGTTCCTTTGATCAGAATGAAGTGACCCTCCTTATCTCTTCTGATTAGTTTTACTTTGAAGTGTATTTTGTCAGATATTAGAATTGCAACCCCTGCTTATTTCTTAGTGCCATTTGCTTGGAATTTTCTTTTCCATCCTTTTACCTTAAGGTCATGCCTGTCCTTGAAGGTGAGATGGGTTTCTTTCAGGCAGCAAAAGATGGATTTTGTTTCTTAATCCATTCACTTAGCCTTTGTCTTTTGACTGGGGCGTTTGGTCATCCATTGATATTTAAGGTTATTATTGAAAGATGTGTGTTGGTTGCCATCATTTTGATTGCTGTTTGTATTCTCTGTCTAATTTTGTGTTTCCTAGATTATACCTTTATTTATTTTCTTTCATTGCCCCTGGGGTATTGTTTCTCTCTCCACTTTCTGTATTTCTTCAAGTATTCTTTGAAGGGCTGGTCTTGTGGACATGTATTCTTTCAGGCTTTTCATGTCATGGAAGATTTTTCTTTCCCCTTCAACTATAATAGACATATTTGCTGGGTAGAATATTCTGGGCTGACATCTATTGTCATGTAGAACTGGAAATTCCTTGGTCCCGGCTCTCCTGGCTTTCATAGTTTGCATTAATAAGTCATCTGTAATTCTGATGGGCTTTCCTTTGTATGTGACTTGTTGTTTTTCTTTTGCTGCTTCCAGTATTCTCTCTTTGTTCTGTATGATTCGTGTTTTTACTATATGTCGTGGGGACTTTCTTTTCTGTTCCTGTCTATTTGGTGTTCTATGTGCTTCCTGTATTTGTATGAGGATGTCTTTCCTTAATTTCTGGAAATTCTCTTTTACAATCCTGTTTAAGATCTGGTCAACACCATTAACCTGAAATTCTTCTCCTTCCTCTATTCCTATGATCCAGAGATTTGGTCTTTTCATGGTGTCCCACGTCTCTTGCATATTCCATTCCTGTTTTTAAAAATTTTTTTCATAATCTTTGTTTGAGTGGTCCAATTCTTCATCTTTATCCTCCAGCATTGATATTCTGTTTTCCATTTCATTCATTCTAGTGGTGAGGCTTTCCCCTGTTGTTTCAAGTTGACTTACTGAGCTTTACACTTCCTTCTTCATTTCTGCCTGAGTTTTCTTCAATGTTTCTATCTCTTTTGTGAATTCATTCAGAAGTTTATCCCTATCTTCCTTCAGTTCTTTGATTTCTTTTTTTGTGTGTTCTTTAAATTCATTGAATTTCTTGCACATGTTTATGATTGTTCTTTTAAATTCAGTGTCCTGGGTTATCTCTAGGGACTTCTCCTTGTAGAACTCTTCTCCGGGATTGGTGGAGTTTGTTGGGGACATAGTGTTTGGGCTTTCCATTTTATTATTCTTTCATTGTGATTTTTGCATGTGAATTTCTTTTGTTGTTTATGATTCTGATATGAGAATTAAGGTGAAGTATGCTTCTGTTTGAGAGGCCAGAGGGAGGCCAGAACTCAGCACTTTCTGGCAGTCTGCTGAGATCAGAGCCACTACACCGCTATACCTATGGAGGTTGCAACCCACCCTCTCAGGCTGTCTACTAGGATCTCAGTCTTAGCTTACCAAAACCTTATCTGCCCTAGGGTCTTGGAAGGGGCCTCACAAAATCCCAGGTAGGGGGGATGGGTATGGCGCAATTAGGGGAAGCTCACCACCACACGGAGGTAGGATCTGGGGGCTCTCAGGCAGTCCCCTGTGTCCTCAGCCCCTCTGTCAGAGAGAGGCCAGAGGGAGGCCAGAACTGGGCACTCTGGGGTGGTCTGTTGAGATCAGAGCCACTATACCAATGGAGGTCGGAACCCACTCTCTCAGGCTGTCTGCTAGGATCTCCTGTGGAAGTATTTTTCAAAAGCTAGGTACCTGTACTCTTTATTGGTAGCTGAAAACACAGTGGATTAGGTAAGACAGGTTAAAATGAGTCAGGGGACTCCTCAGTGGGAGAGGATAATAAAGTGTTTGTAGATGTTCAAAGAAGAGGATTTGGCAAAAGTTAAATCAGGACAGCAAACAAACAAATGATAGTTGTCTTGGCTTTTCTAGTTGAGAAGTAGTTGATGAAGCTGAGTACATGGGGCTTGTCAGAGGGGAGTTTGGTCTAGAAAAGTGAAATAATGTCAGGGCAGGATTTTACAAAGTATGATGTGCTACAGTATCTACATTTAACAAATGCTAACCTAAACAGGATCACTGCCAATAAAGAGAGATTAAAGAGGAAGTAAGAGGCTCTCAATATTACACCCCAAATGTCAGCCTGTGACTGAAGTCACTCATACCCAGAACCAGGAAAATCCAACCTGGAATAAGAAAAATCAATTGAAATTATCAATAAGGAGATGAGATGGACTGGAATTATCAGACAGGATTTTATAACAGTCATATCCTAAAAATGCTTTAGCAAACATTATGAATACACCCAAAAGAAGTATAAAATAGAAAGTTTGAGAAAAGATGTAGAACTGTTAAGAAGGAAAAGGAGAAAACTTTATAATTGAAAAATGCAAATAAAAACCCCATTGATTAAAAAATAGGAAAATGACGTGAATAGACAATTCTCAAAAGAAACACAATGGCCACGTG